GCGTGATATCCATATATAATCCCCTCAGGTCTGCTGCAATGCTGGCCCTAACACTCCCCACGCCTGACCTCCCAGAATGCCCATAAATCGTGCCTTCATTACACTGCCCTTCCCAGGCTGGCTGGTGAATGGCTGGCTGGGGGGCTGGCTGGCTAGCTGGGGGGCTGGCGAGGGCTAGCTGGCTGGGGGGCTGGCTGCTAGCTGGGGGGCTGGCTGGGAGCTGGGAGCTGGCTGGCTGGCTTGCTGGGGGGCTGGCTGGCGGAGGGGCTGGATGGCTAGCTGGGGGGCTGGCTGCTGAGGGGTCACGTTGCCGAGGCCAGGGAAGGAATTGAAGCGGAAAATGTGGGGAACCTGCTGGAAATGGAAGCCCACCCACAACAGAGCCATAGCAGCTCAGAGCAGCTCGCTCCAGTCCAGTGAACCACTGGTATCTATGTGTGAACACTGGCTGCTGGGCAGAAAACAGCCCACACCAGGCCTTAGCCTCTACGGCTACAGGTGCACTCAATGACCATTTAGACAGACATAGACAGGGCTCCCTTGTGAAAGAGACGCATAAGATCTCAACGGGACTCACCTTGATAAATAAAGAAAGACAAGTCTGATACAAATAAACGGAAATAATCCCACTAACTGCAACATTTCAGTCAACAACAGCCAAAAGCTTTCACTATAAAGAACACTAGTGGAGTCAATGAGGTGAGTTGACTTGACACTGTGAGGCCACAGAATGTGCTTCACTCCCGAGCTCCTGAGAACACTCCGACTGACACAACGCTTTACAAGTCGTCACATCAACAGCGCTGCATGTCAGCGGCCATTTTGACAGCACAGCTGTGTTCCTCCTCCTCGGGGTGTCTCAGACTCATAGTTCAGCCGGTCTATCTGTCTGTCTATTATGAACCCCATGTGAAAGACTGAGGGAGAAGCTCTTCTTCAATGGGACAGAGATTGACAGACAGATATAAGAGATTAGTCTCTCCTAGCTCAACGGTCTAGGGTATCACCAGTTGAAAGCAGAGGTACTGTAGTTGTGAACTATCTCTGGGATCACTACTTTATAGTCTGACCCGCCCTGTGTGTATGTCAACGCCGTGGCGGGGGGGGGACAGAGGGTAGCAGAGGGGGGCAGCAGTGCCCCTGGGGCGGGGTGGGTGACAGGGAGACACTCAGGATGAGGGCCCTGTCATCAAAGCCTGGATCAAAGAGCTGAGTTTCCCCCTCGCTGCCTGTGACTATCACAAAATAGTTCACACACGCTCACACACACACACGAGGAGCGCACAGGATGCAACACACACACACGCAGACTACATTTTGCTGGGTGGGGTACTGCGACCTGTGTGTGTGTGTGTGTGTGTATATCAGTGAGTGTGAGAGAGTGTGTGTGTAATGTGGTCTGTGTGTGTGTTTTAGTATGGGACATCCAAGCCTAATCCCTGTGGGAAGAGATGTGCAGGAATTGTTTCTGTTCATCTACTGCAGGGAGATACATCAGAGAGCCAGGGGCCCCTTGTTGTCGCCCAGAGCACAGACCATAGCCTAGACCAGAGCCCAGACAGATGCATGATCAGGGAGGGTGCACTTCCTGTTCAGTAGGTAGAAAACTTTTGAAACTGGGGATGTACTACCTGACCTTGTGCAATAATAACACAGAGTTGTATTTTCCATTGCAAAAGATTTTGCTACAATGTGCCGTACTGAACATTTACATTTACATTTTTACATTTACGTCATTTAGCAGACGCTCTTATCCAGAGCGACTTACAGTTAGTGCATACATTATTCTTTTTTATTTTCATACTGGCCCCCTGTGGGAATCGAACCCACAATCCTGGCGTTGCAAACGCCATGCTCTACCAACTGAGCTACCTCCCTGTCGGCCATTCCCTCCCCTACCCTGGACGATGCTGGGCCAATTGTGTGCCGCCCCATTGGTCTCCCGGTTGCGGCCAGCTACAGCAGAGCCTGGATTCAAACCAGGATCTCTAGTGGCACAGCCTTAGACCACTGCGCCACTCGGGAGGTTACACAACCCAGATCTCACTATGAACTCTTTATAGTCCACTGATAGATGGCCATGACAACCTAGTAATAATTAGACTAATAGTGTCTCCTTTAGGAAAATCCACTAAGTGCATGGTACCATGTTCTTCTGTGCTGCAGAGAGAGAGAGAGTAGAAGTGGCTCACAGGTCCAGTCCTGACAACAGCAGCTACGTTTACTATCCAGTGCAATACTGACTCCTGCTGGCTAACATAGGTCATTACAGGTAATACAGTGGAGCACAGTCAGCTCACTTACATTTTACATTTACATTACATTTTAGTCATTTAGCAGACGCTCTTATCCAGAGCAACTTACAGTTAGTGAGTGCATAAATTTTTTCATACTGGCCCCCCGTGGGAAACGAACCCACAACCCTGGCGTTGCAAGCGCCATGCTCTACCAACTGAGCTACAGGGGACTCTATCAACCACAGAACTTGGAATTTTGCACATCTGAAAATAATGGCGGTTGGTGAACAGATAACTTCAGGTTGAGAAGTTGATGATGCCCTCTCTGCAGCCATCACCCAAGAGGAGTATGGCGTACAGAGACACAACTAAATGGCCATCACCTGTGTGTGTAAAATTTGACAGAATTTGCTCAAATAAAGCTAACTGCATATACAGACAATGTCGTATATCAGTCGTGTTAACCCCACTAATGGTTCAGGTCAGAACTTAAGATAGGGTACGCTAAGATGATCCTAGATCTGTACATTTCTCCCCACTAATGGTTAAGGTTAGGATTTGGATAGGGTAAACTGATCCTAGATCTGTGACTGAGGGTCTGGACTGACCTTTGGCACATGTGGGTTAAACTCCACGGCTCTGTGTATAGCCTCCACAGCGTTCATCTCTGCAGTGCTCAGGCCCCGCCGGGATGCTGCCTCAGGAGAAAACCTGGAAGAGAGAGAGCGGGACAGAGAGAGGGACAGAGAAAGAGAGAGAGGGACAGAGAAAGAGAGAGAGGGACAGAGAAAGAGAGAGAGGGACAGAGAAAGAGAGAGAGGGACAGAGAAAGAGTGAGCGGGACAGAGAGAGAGAGAGAGAGAGAGAGAGAGAGAGACGGAGAGTGATGGAGAGAGTGACGGAGAGAGAGAGAGTGAGACGGAGAGAGAGAGAGAGACAGAGAGACAGAGAGAGAGAGAGACGGAGAGAGAGAGAGAGAAGACGCCCATGGTAAGACACAGGAGTCAGGACAGCTTTAAGAGATATCATGCACTTCAGCCACAAATAGGGGGTTTGATGTCCCACAAACAAGTCTTGAAGATTAGTCTGACCTATAAAGACAGATGCATCCGTCAAGTATAGATCATATTGTTTGTTTATGTCTTATAATGGTACATTAATGGTTACAACTATGTCCTCCTACAACAAATATTTCTGTCAGAACGCAAATGAGTCTTTCCACATACTTATCTGATACAGCCCGTGCTTTCAGCAGTGCAGATGTGTAGCATATTGTAGCTGATTTTGGCAAGCTGATATCTACAACGAGAACACATTTCACTTTAAGCTCAAACTATGAGTCTGTAAATCATGAGTATCAAATCAAATCAAATTTTATTTGTCACATGCGCCAAATACAACAGGTGTAGACCTTACCGTGAAATGCTTACTTACAAGCCCTTAACCAACAATGCAGTTTTAAGAAAATAGAGTTAAGAAAATATTTACTAAATAAACTTTAAAAAAGTTTAAAAGTTAAAAAATTAAAAAAAAAATTAAAAGATAACACTACAAAATAACAATAATGAGGCTATATACAGGAGGTACCAGAACCGAGTCAATGTGCGGGGGTACAGGTTAGTCGAGGTAATTAGTACATGTAGGTAGGGGTAAAGTGACAGAGTGGAGCAGCGGTCTAAGGCACTGCATCTCAGCGGTCTAAGGCACTGCATCTCAGCGGTCTAAGGCACTGCATCTCAGCGGTCTAAGGCACTGCATCTCAGCGGTCTAAGGCACTGCATCTCAGCGGTCTAAGGCACTGCATCTCAGCGGTCTAAGGCACTGCATCTCAGCGGTCTAAGGCACTGCATCTCAGCGGTCTAAGGCACTGCATCTCAGCGGTCTAAGGCACTGCATCTCAGCGGTCTAAGGCACTGCATCTCAGCGGTCTAAGGCACTGCATCTCAGCGGTCTAAGGCACTGCATCTCAGTGCTTGAGGCGTCACTACAGACCCCCTGGTTCGGTTCCAGGCTGTATCACAACCAGCCGTGATTGGGAGTCCCTTAGGGAGGCGCACAATTGGCACCAGCGTCGTCCGGGTTTGGCCGGTGTAGGCCGTCATTGTAAATAAGAATTTGTTCTTAACTGACTTAACTTAGTTAAATAAAGGTTGAATAAATAAATAAAATAAAACAGAGGACTGGTTCAAAGTTATTGTAGTTAGTCGGCTTGAATCATGTTTTTCTTATGTGGTCCTGCGTGGCTCAGTTGGTAGCATGATGCTTTCAACGCCAGGATCATGGGTTTGATTCTCACCGCTGGCCACAGATATGAAAATGTATGCACTCACTACTGTCGGCTTGGATAAAAGCATCTGCTACATGGCACATATCTTACCGTCGTATTTGGCGAGGACTGCTTGTACATCAGCGTAGGCCTGTTGCTCCAGTAACGCCTCCAGGAGGTTTTCATGTATATTCAACATTCCCAACAGTGGGAATTCTTTCATTAACTGGGAGAAGTGAGGAACAGTGAGTGAGAGAAGGAATCATAAAATGGCAGGACTAACCAGTATTAAAGGAGCATAGAAGAGGACTGAAGACAGGACTATACAAATCAGGGCTACGTTCAGTAGTCAAACTTTCATAAACGTTGCAGATAGAAATGCTACGAATAGAGCCGACGTGATTCCTTGTCATTCTACATGTCAGAGAGGCATGTTTGTTCTACATGTCAGAGAGGCATGTTTGTTCTACATAGAATAATTATATCCGAAGGTTCCAAAACGTTGCGTCCTGCTGAGCGCGCCGCCCCAGGGCCTCCAGGTCCACAATACTTCTGGTTGTTCTTCTAGCCTCTAAACAGCGACTGGTTCAGACCTGGGACACCATGTGTGTGAACACTCCCTCTAGCCAATCAATGACATCCGCTACTAGGGAGAAAAGAAAACCAGCCATAATGCAGAATTCAAGGCCCTGATTTGAACACCCCTGATTAAGGAAATGGCAACACTCACATCTCTCATCATTTTCACTGCCTCCTTGATGCGTCCCAGCTTTCGTGCACACATGGCCAGTCTGCGTTTGATGTACACCAGCAAGTTGATGTCTTTGCCAGCTATGGAAGAGAGGAAACTTAATGCATTTAATTAACACAATCCCATCCCTGACTAATGCTTTTAAACGAAGGATCAGAGGCCTGAGGCTTGTGATGGGGTCCTGTACTCTCTGTTCTCCCTTACCACTCCGCAGGGCTTGTTTAAACAGCCTCTCAGCCTCTGTGATGGTGGTGGCTTCCTCCTCTGCCAGAAGCACATAGGCAGCAGCACACCTAGAAACCACAGGGAAGACACTTGCTACGAAATCTACTTCACAGAATATACAGTGCTTTCGGAAAGTATTCAGACCCCTTGACTTTGTCCACATTTTGTTACGTTACAGCCTTATTCTAAAATTGATTAAATAAATACAAAGCCTCAGCAATCTACACACAAAACCCCATAATGACAAAAAAACTAAAACAGGTTTTCAGATTATTTTGCAAATGTATAAAAAAAAAAAAAAAAAAAAACCTTATGTACGAAAGTATTCAGACCCTATGCTATGAGATTCGAAATTGAGCTCAGGCGCATCCTGTTTCCATTGATCATCCTTGAGATGTTTCTACAACTTGATTGGAGTTCTACCCCCAAGCCATAAGACTCTTGAACAGCTAATCATGGCTACCCGGACTATTTGCACTTTTTTTTCTTTAAAAAACTGCATTGTTGGTTAAGGGCTTGTAAGTAAGCATTTCACTGTAAGGTCTACACCTGTTGTATTCGGCGCATCTGGCAAATACAATTGGATTTGATTTGACCTGTGGTAAATTCAATTGATTGGACATGATTTGGAAAGGCACACACCTGTCTATATAAGGTCCCACAGTTGACAGCCATGTCAGAGCAAAAACCAAGCCATGAGGTCGAAGGAATTGTCCGTAGAGCTCCGAGACAGTATTGTGTCGAGGCACAGATCTGGGGAAGGGTACCAAAAAAATACCCAAGAAGAATCGATGCTGTAATCGCTGCCAAAGGTGCTTCAACAAAGTCTGAATACTTATGTTAATGTAATATATATTTTTAAAAATATAAATTAGCTACAATTTCTAAAAACCTGTTTTTGCTGTCATTATGGGGTATTGTGTGTAGATTGATGAGGGGGAAAAAAACAATTTAATCAATTTTAGAATAAGGCTGTAACGTAACAAAACGTGGAAAAAGTCAAGGGGTCTGAATATTTTCCGAATAAGAAAATTAATTTGGGATTTTCCTAAATGAGCATGCAATGTCTTTTTAAGCGCAACTGAAACTGTTATGGTGGTGGTGGAACTCACTCGTGGTTCATCTCTATGGCCTGGTAAGCTGCTCTGATCCGGGCTTGGGGATTCCTCTCCCTCCAGGCCTTCTGCATCACTGTAACAGGCCGGAAGCAGACAACAAATACTGTACTGAATGCAGGAGTAGGAGTGAGGCCGATGAGAACCAAAGCAGTCTTTCAAAAGGAATTAAAGGATTATATTCCTCCCCAGACATTTACACTTTGGCTAACACTTTTTCATGATATTCCGATTAAAAAGTTTGGATTCTAACCAGTATCTTCAGCCTTGATTTGCTGAGTGTCACCAGTGAAAAAAGTCTGGTGGTCTTGAGCAGACAGGTTCATATCGTAGTACGTCAAAGGCTCCTTTCCAGTCACCCAGGTGTACCTTTAGATGGGTACAGTACAACATGAACACAGTGTTAGGCTGAAGTACAACATGAACACAGTATTAGGCTGAAGTACAACATGAACACAGTGTTAGGCTGAAGTACAACATGAACACAGTGACATTCTGTGGGGGCTCATCATACCTGCTGTATTCTGCTCCTCTGAATAGATTTAAAGGATTCCTCCAAACTTTACACTCTGCAAAAGACAGTGTCATTGTATCATTACTTTGTAACATTGATGGCCTTGCCAACCTGAGTCACGTATTCAACCCAGGGTCATTTTTGTTTTCTGTTGCAAAATGTGGAAACATTATATTGGAGAAACGTTTACCTGAGACACTGGGTCTGGGCTCAGCCTCTCCGTTGACTGAGGAGAACAGGCCAGTGGTTGAGCTGCTCTCCACCCCACCTAGGAGGGGTCGCAGATGGCTAACAGACACCTGCTCGATGAACGAGGTCCCATACTTACGGAAGTACCACCACTCAAATATCTGGGGGCAGGGGATTGGGACAGTCATACAGAGAGCAATGTACCGGTACACAAACCTTCTAGACAATTTATTAGATTATCATATCATTATTAGTGCACCAACTGTACAATGAATCTAAGCTACCTTTGGTGTTGGTATTTGAAATCCACATTTCCAAATGTAGTGTCCAAACTACAATCTGGGCAAAACAATATTCACATCACCAACCCCATGCAGTGAGTAACCCTGTGATCATCACAACTCACCAAGATTAGACCAGAGATTAGAGAGGATGTTCCAGTGAGTGCCACATAGAATTTAGGGGTCAGTGTATTCAAGAACACAGATGCTGAAACAACAAGGAACGCTATGTTAGATCAAACGCATCCCACACAAATGAATGACACTACACTTGCCTAAAATGGGATTCAGACTGAACACTGAAGGTAGCTAGTTGCTTGCTGATCATGCAGAGCCCACCACACAGACAGATGTGACCAATAAAATTTGATTTGATTTGATTTGAGATGCTGACTGAGTCAGTGTGTAGCTAGCTACAGTAGCGATGTTGAAGTACCATGACCATATAGCTAGATGAAGATATAGGCGCTAGGAAGCTAGCTAACTTACAACATTGAGTAACTGACACTCATGCAATTTTAGCTAGCAATCATTATGCATTGTTTGAATGATGTTAGCTAGCTAGCTGGCTAGTTGTTATGCATAAGCATAACATTAACAGCTAGCTAAGTTAGCTAACGTAGATAGCTAGTAGCCACATTAGCTAGCTAATATTTCTAGTTACCATTCAATAAATAAACCAACCTGAGATATATTTTTCGTGCAATGTGTTGTCATACAGTTAGCTAGCTTGCTGTCAAACGTTCAGTTCCTCCACTGTCTCTCGATTTCTATTTGCTAGCTCGCTAACGTCAGAAGGCTGGCTAGCTAGCTACACTACATTCGCTAGCTAGCCCATTCTTAGAAAGCTAGCTAACTCACCTGAGGTAAGAGTGTCCTGCAGTTTCAAGGGGCTTCGCAGAACATAGATCATAGTTAAAACCATGGCAAACCAAACGGCACATATGTATGTCCATGACCAGGACAACCATGATTTTAATTTATCTGTAAATCCAAGAGATTGAGGATTAATGCTGGTCGCGTCCTCCATGTTTTTAACGGATGGCTGTGCTGTAAACAGAGGAATCATGTGCCAGTGGCACTGTCAAGATCCGCTTCCTCACTGTCCGCTGCAGTCAGTCGCCGATCAGTAGAGGTTTGTCTCATGAGCCAAGATGGCCGATTTCGAAGAACAACTCACTGAGGAAGAGAAGGTACAGTATTTTGAGAAGCTTTGCTCATTGTTTTACGACGTTTAGTAAATTAGGTTGTTTGTGTCCTTACTCAATTATTTTGGCCGCAAAAAGTGTTTGCTAAGCTAACATTAGCTGACTGGCTAACATTACACTCTAGCTAGCTATCCTATCTGAAGCTAGCTACTGTTAGCGAACAAACTATCAGGGGGAGTTAATTGTATCACCTAGTTAGATAGCTACAGCTCCATACACCATGATAAAACATACCAGACCCAAGAAGCACTTTGCTTACTGCTTAACTAGCTAGCTAAAATGTTTGTGAATGTTAGCCACGTTCCTTAGCCAAAGATGAGCAAATTAGCTAGTATGTGCCTCAAGTCTGACACTTTAGCTGGGCTTTGCCATTGGGCTTTTGCACGGTGGCCAGCTAACTTTACAATGGCAATTGTCCCACCGAGTCTTGTAGTTACTATCTAGCAGTAAATGATCATACAATTGTTCATGGATTATTTGTAAATGGTTTTAGTCTAAAAAAAACATTTGATTAACTAACGTTAGTTAGCTAGAAAAAGCCACTACTTCCTGTATTGACTGCAACACCCTCCACACCCTGCTAGACACAACTCTGAAGATAATAGGCATAATTTATAATCCCATGTTCTGTCTTGGGATGGCACCTGGCCTATTGACTATAACGCATTACAACACAATTAACTTTTGATTGACCAATTATTTGGTATAACAATCATTGAAGTCATGAAAAAGTCCACAAAAACATAAAACCCTATTCACAACACTTCTTCTGACGGTCATACACGATGAAAGTGATTGTGGCCACTTTCAACCAATTGAGATTGAATCACCAAAAACGAAACAACCTTAATATGAGAGCTTGGGTTTGACCATTCTTGCTGTCAACAGCTTGCAGATAGATACATGTTTGAGGCTGCCTACTGGTGTCTAGCATTCCTACCGCTTCAGTGGCAGGCAGAGATGCGGTCAGATACATGTACAGACCAGTAGAATGAGCATAGGTATTTTGTAAATACATTACTTAGCATGGGAAGGCACCTAACAGTGTTTGGGAGCATCTAACTGTATGGCAACAGCATACACACACCAGACGTTCCAGAACCTGTTGGTATTGTTTACAATGTACTGGTGAAGTGTTGCAAAAATACTTGAATTAAAGCTGTGTAACCCACACAACCTTTGGGTCTGAGTCTGGACATGAAGACATGCATTAGGGCCTACAATACTGCAGTTCTGCTACTGATTTCAGTGCACTCTAGACTTTCAGGGAAGCCCTAATGAAGATTGCCTAGTCCCTTCCACCCCCCACTTTCACTGTTCTTGGTTCTGCTCTGACACCACACGCTGCTAAGAAAAGCTCGAGCCATCTAAGGAGTGGTTAGGACAGCGCAGAGGTAGGCTAGTCAGGAAGCCAAGTCAGTCACCGCTCTCTGCTTCACCCTAGTGGCCAGTTTAATAATGACTTGGCTGCATCATTACACTGTCCCTGGGTGTCATATCAGTGGTAGAAATATTAATATGTATGCAATATCTTTTTCAAGTTTTATTAGTCGTATGTACAGGATACACATGGTATACACCATCCAACGAAATGCTTCCTTGCAGGTTCCTTCTGGACAATGCAACAACAATAAGAGATAAAAGATAAGAACATAAAGCAAATGGTTCAGTAGAATGGAATAAACATTTTATCATATAGTACCAAAATGTTCCATTGGCACTCAGCTGTAAAAGCTGTATGGCAAAAAAGTGGATAGTAGCCTATTTACCTCATTGTATTTCCTTTCCCTCAGGTCCGCATTGCGGCTAATTTTGTCGTCCATGCTCCACCTGGAGAATTCAATGAAGTCTTCAACGGTGAGTGTGCTTAGAAATCGTGCATTCTTTGTACTGTTTGTTTATTTACCAATACACTTGGTTTGTTATACAGTCTGTTAAGGCGTTGGCAATCTCGTGATAATGCTATCTCTTGGTTTCAGATGTGCGGCTACTGCTCAACAATGACAATCTTCTCAGGGAGGGTGCAGCACAGTGAGTAGTATTTTATTGATTTATTTACTGTATTCTGTCCATGTATTGTTGTGTACATTTGTGTTAACTTGCTGTATTTTGTTTTTTTCTCCATTGGAAAACAGTGCCTTTGCCCAGTACAACATGGATCAGTTCACCCTTGCCAAACTTGAAGGGTATGATGATCAGGTAAGATGCTCAGTCACTTGAGCTGTGACTCCTACCCAGCTGTTTTGAGTCTTGTTGGTCTCATACTGTGATATACAGTGCCTTGCAAAAGTATTCAGCCCCCTTGGCGTTTTTCCTATTTTGTTGCATTACAACCTGTAATTTAAATTGATTTTTATTTGGATTTCATGTAATGGACATATTCAAAATAGTCCAAATTGGTGAAGTGAAAAGAGAAAAATTACTTGTTTCAAAAAATTCGAAAAAATAAATAACGGAAAAGTGGTGCGTGCATATGTATTCACCCCCTTTGCTATGAAGCCCTAAATAAGATCTGGTGCAACCAATTACCTTCAGAATTCACATAATTAGTTAAAGTCCACCTGTGTGCAATCTAAGTGTCACATGATCTCAGTATACATACACCTGTTCTGAAAGGCCCCAGAGTCTGCAACACCACTAAGCAAGGGGCGGCACCATGAAGACCAAGGAGCTCTCCAAACAGGTCAGGGACAAAGTTGTGCCTCATTGCCTGCGTCCGTAATGGGTCCGTGGTCAAACGCTCCCTAAAACACTTCAGCGAGCAGGCCTTTCTAATTGACCTGGCCCGGGTGTCCTGGATGGATATTGACCTCATTCCGTCAGTAGAGGATGCCTGGTTGTTCTTTAAAAGTGCTTTCCTCTCCATCTTAAATAAGCATGCCCCATTCAAAAAATTCAGAACTAAGAACAGATATAGCCCCTGGTTCACCCCAGACTTGACTGCCCTTGACCAGCACAAAAACATCCTGTGGCGTACGGCATTAGCATCGAACAGCCCCCGCGATATGCAACTTTTCAGGGAAGTCAGGAACCAATATACACAATCAGTTAGGAAAGCAAAGGCTAACTTTTTCAAACAGAAATGTGCATCCTGTAGCACTAACTCCAAAAAGTTTTGGGACACTGTAAAGTCCATGGAGAATAAGAGCACCTCCTCCCAACTGCCCACTGCACTGAGGCTAGGAAACACTGTCACCACCGATTAAATCTACGATAATCGAAAATGTCAACAAGCATTTTGCTACGACTGGCCGTTCTTTCCACCTGGCTACCCCTACCCCGGCCACCAGCTCTGCACCCTTCGCTGCAACTTGCCCATGCCTCCCCTGCTTCTCCTTCACCCAAATTCAGATAGCTAATGTTCTGAAAGAGCTGCAAAGTCTGGACCCCTACAAATCAGCTGGGCTAGACAATCTGGACCCTTTCTTTCTAAAATTAGCCGCCGAAATTGTCGCAACCCCTATCACCAGCCTGTTCAACCTCTCTTTCGTATCGTCTGAGATCCCCAGAGATTGGAAAGCTGCCGCGGTCATCCCCCTCTTCAAAGGGGGTGACACTCTAGATCCAAACAGTTACAGACCTATATCCATCCTGCCCTGCCTTTCAAAAGTATTTGAAAGCCAAGTTAACAAACAGATCACCGACCATTTCAAATCCGCTATGCAATCTGGTTTCCGAGCTGGTCAGGGGTGTACCTCAGCCACGCTCAAGGTCCTAAACGATATAATAACTGCAATCGATAAAAGACAGTACTGTGCAGCCGTCTTCATTGACCTGGCCAAGGCTTTTGACTCTGTCAATCACCGCATTCTTATTGGCAGACTAAATAGCCTTGGTTTCTCAAATGACTGCCTCGCCTGGTTCACCAACTACTTCTCAGATAGAGTTCAATGTGTCAAATTGGAGGGCCTGTTGTCTGGACCTCTGGCAGTCTCTATGGGGGTGCCACAGGGTTCAAATCTCGGGCCGACTCTATTCTCTGTGTATATCAATGATGTCGCTCTTGCTGCTGGTGACTCTCAGATCCACCTCTACGCAGACGACACCATTTTGTATACATCTGGCCCTTCATTGGACACTGTGTTAACAAACCTCCAAACGAGCTTCAATGCCATACAACACTCCTTCCGTGGCCTCCAACTGCTTTTAAACGCTAGTAAAACTAATTGCATGCTCTTCAATCGAACGCTGCTTGCACCCGCCTGCCCGACTAGAATCACTGCTCTCGGCGGCTCTGACTTAGAATATGTGGACAACTACAAATACCTAGGTGTCTGGTTTGACCGTAAACTCTCCTTCCAGACTCACATTAAGCATCTCCAATCCAAAGTTAAATCTAGAATCAGCTTCCAATTTCGCAACAAGGCCTCCTTCACTCATGCTGCTAAACATGCCCTCGTAAAACTGACTATCCTACCGATCCTTGACTTCGGCGATGTAATTTACAAAATAGCCTCCAACACTCTACTCAGAAAATTGGATGTAGTCTATCACAGTGCCATCCGTTTTGTCACCAAAGCCCCATATACTACCCACCATTGTGACCTGTACGCTCTCGTTGGCTGGCCCTCACTACATATTCGTCGCCAAACCCACTGGCTCCAGGTCATCTATAAATCCCTTCTAGGCAAATCCCCGCCTTATCTTAGCTCATTGGTCACCATAGCAACACCCACCCGTAGTATGCGCTCCAGCAGGTATATCTCACTGGTCATCCCCAAAGCCAACACCTCCTTTGGCCGCCATTCCTTCCAGTTCTCTGCTGCAAATCACTGGAACGAACTGCAAAAATCTCTGAAGCTGGAGACACGTATCTAATAATAATAATATAATATGCCATTTAGCAGACGCTTTTATCCAAAGCGACTTACAGTCATGTGTGCATAAATGTTTACGTATGGGTGGTCCCGGGGATCGAACCCACTACCCTGGCGTTACAAGCGCCATGCTCTACCAATTGAGCTACAGTTGTCAGAGCAGCTTACCGATCACTGCACCTGTACACAGCCCATCTGTAATTATCCCACCCAACTACGTCATCCCCATATTGTTATTTACATTATTTATTTTGCTCATTTGCACCCCAGTATCTATATTTGCACATCATCTTCTGCACATCTATCACTCCAGTGTTAATACTAAATTGTAATTGTAATTATTTTGCACTATGGCCTATTTATTACCTTACCTCCATAATTTACTACATTTGCACACACTGTATATAGATTTTCTATTGTGTTATTGACTGTACGTTTTGTTTATTCCATATGTAACTCTGTGTTGTTGTTGTTTTTATTGCACTGCTTTGCTTTATCTTGGCCAGGTCGCAGTTGTAAATGAGAACTTGTTCTCAACTGGCTTACCTGGTTAAATAAAGGTGAAAAAAAACCAAACATCTTAATTTGGTTGAGGTTGGGGGATTGTGGAGGCCAGGTCATCTGATGCAGCATTCCATCACTCTCCTTCTTGGTAAAATAGCCCTTACACAGCCTGGAGGTGTGTTGGGTCATTGTCCTGTTGAAAAATAAATGATAGTCCCACTAAGCGCAAACCAGATGGGATGGCGTTTCGCTGCAGAATGCTGTGGGAGCCATGCTGGTTAAGTGTTCCTTGAATTCTAAATAAATCACTGACAGTTTCACCAGCAAAGCACCATCACACCTCCTCCATGCTTCACGGTGGGAACCACACATGCGGAGATCATCCGTTCACCTACTCTGCGTCTCACAAAGACATGGCGGTTGGAACCAAAAATCTCAAATTTGGACTCATCAGACCAAAGGAGACATTTCCACCAGTCTAATATCCATTGCTTGTGTTTCTTGGCCCAAGCAAGTCTCTTCTTCTTATTGGTGTCCTTTAGTAGTGATTTCTTTGCAGCAATTCGACCATGAAGGCCTGATTCACGCGGTCTCCTCTGGAAAAAAAAAACAGTTGATGTTGAGATGTGTCTGTTACTTGAACTCTGTGAAGCATTTATTTGGGCTGCAATTTCTGAGGCTGGTAACTCTAATGAACTTATCCTCTGCAGCAGAGGTACTCTGGGTCTTCCTTTCCTGTGGCGGTCCTCGTGAGAGCCAGTTTCATCATAGCGCGTGATGGTTTTTGCGACTGCACTTGAAGAAACTTTAAAAGTTCTTGACATTTTCCGGATTGACTGACCTTAATGTCTTAAAGTAATGATGGACTGTCGTTTCTCTTTGCTTATTTTAGCTGTTATTGCCATAATATTGAGTTGGTCTTTTACCAAATAGGGCTGTCTTCTGTATACCACCCTTACCTTGTCACAACACAACTGATTGGCTCAAATGCATTAAGAAGGAAAGAAATTCCACAAATTAACTTTTAAGAAGGCACACCTGTTAATTGAAATGCATTCCAGGTGACTACCTCATGAAGCTGGTTGAGAAAATGCCAAGAGTGTGCAAAGCTGTCATCAAGGCAAAGGGTGGCTACTTTGAAGAATCTCAAATATAAAATATATTTTGATTTGTTTAACACTTTTTTGGTTACTACATGATTCCATATGTGTTATTTCATAGTTTTGATGTCTTCACTATAATTCTACAATGTAGAAAATAGTAAAAATTAAGAAACCCTTTAATGAGTTGGTGTGTCCAAACTTTTGACTGGTAGTGTATATAAAAACACTTTTTTACAGTTTGGAGTATGGCAGAAAAATCCCTGTATGATCAATGCAGCAACTGAGGACCTCTATCTGTGTCCCTGTGATCCATCTCCCCTCCAGGTGCTGATCACCGAGCATGGGGACCTGGGCAATGGCCGTTTCTTTGACCCCCGCAACAAGCGGTCATTCAAGTTCGACCACCTGAGGAAGGAGGCCAGCGACCCCCAGCCCCACGAGGGAGAGGCAGCTCTCAGACCCTGGAGAGACGCGTGTGACAGCGCCCTGAGGGCCTATGTCAAGGAGCACTACCCCAGCGGCGTCTGCACTGTACGTCCCATCTTTCACCTGCAAGATATAATAACATTATCTTTAAGATGTGCGTGGTAAACAATGACAGGACCTTGTTTTATTATATCACAGGTTTATGGGAAAACTATTGACGGCCAGCAAACCATAATTGCTTGCATTGAAGGTCATCAATTTCAACCAAAGAACTTCTGGTAAGTGTAGTCTCACTTTAAAACCAATGTCTCTTCATAAAGTTACCAATCATTTATTTATTTATTTAACCTTTATTTTATCGGGGAGTCATTTAGGGAATGAGTATACAAACATTTGCATTTTGAACTGTTGTGTTTTGTATGAAAAATGTAATTCTGTCTATAATAGTGCCTTAGACCTAATGCAAATCAACTATGAATTTGGGAAAGGACTGATATTTGATTTCTGTTCTCAGGAATGGTCGTTGTAGGTCTGAATGGAAGTTCAGCATCTCCCAATCTACAGCTCAAGTCGTTGGAGTCCTCAAAATACAGGTAGGCTGGTAGTGTCCATCGCCAAGTGTTGTCCACCATTTTGTCCGGCTGTCTAAAAGCCTGTTCAAAGACAACTGGTTGGGCACAGGTAGCCTCGTATGAACCACCCTGAACTCACAAGCTCACATGCAGAATGTGAGCTCGCAAGATCAGGATGGTCCATACGAGGCTAGGGCACAGGCCCCTGCAAGTCAAATTTGATAAACTGAAAATGGATATTGTTTTGTCATATTGTGTATATAGTCTCCCTCACCCGCCATCTTGTGGTTGCAGGTGCATTACTATGAGGATGGAAATGTGCAGCTGGTCAGCCACAAGGAAGTACAGGAATCCCTCACCGTAAATGTGAGTTCCCCTTTCAGTAGGATATTTTAGACCTGAACATAAGCGTTCAAAAGAAGAAGGGTGTAAAACCTTTTCCTGGTTTTCCAGAAATCCTGGTTGTAGAATTATGGATTTCCTGCTTATCCCCTCCTGATTCCGGGAATCCTCCAACCGGGATTCCCAGAAAACCAGGGAATTTATTGAAAGTTCCAGGAATTTTGCAACCCTAGTCCAGGTTCATTGGTGCATGAGAAGTAGGATGACGTAAAATAAAATAATAAGTGAAATGTCCTTTTATGATAAAGAGAGAGATGGTCTTCAATCTCTGTCAAGTTTACAGGCAATTCAATTGTCAAAGGCATTAATTCTGATATTTGCTTTATTAGTCCTTTCTTTGGTATGACAACTCTTCCTCAGAGGTGTGACACTCGGTTGTATTCTGTTGTTTTGGCAGAGTGAGACTCAGACTGCAAAGGAGTTTGTGAAAATCATTGAGGATACAGAAAATGAATACCAGGTATGCAACATGTTTCCTCACAATAATATTGGCGGAATTGGGATATTGGAATAAATCACAGTTTAATGTATTTTTTCCCCCTCAATGTGGGGAGCAAGAGTCTAAACATTTGTTTTCCTAATTTCCAGACGGCCATCAGTGAGAACTACCAGACCATGTCTGACACCACGTTCAAAGCCTTACGCCGGCAGCTTCCTGTCACCCGCACCAAGATTGACTGGAACAAGATCCTCAGCTACAAGATTGGCAAGGAGATGCAGAATGCTTAGAGGACAGTGTGTCGGTCAGTGTTACTGTGTTACTGCAAAGACAGAGAGAATAGGGGAAATCAGAAAAGGAGGCGTCACAAAGGGGGGTGGTGTCGTAAAAATTTGGTCTATTTCGTCTTTGTTAAAGAATGCCACGGTTTGATTTGGTGTGTGGAGTTGGTATGCTATCTTCGGCGCGTTAGGAGGCGATGGCTTCATATTAAGAGGACATTTTGGGTTGTTTAGCTCTGGCTTATTTGCAAATTTTTAATTTCTACAAAATGCCTTTAGTGACACTGTGAAAGTTTGGGTAATTGGGTCAACCTCGCTCTCCCACACTCACTCATTGTCCGATGCTTCAAAAATCATAGTCATATCCTCATACCCCACATTTGGTTGACTTTGTGTCTGGGGGCCACAGGTAGTAATCAGTTTAAGCCCATTTCGTAACCCACTATGGCCGGGATTCAAACAAATGCAGATAAACGACCAGTGCATTGTGGTTAATCTTTAAAGGCGATTTCTGACTGAGCTGCATCCGCTGCGTGATCTCTGTGAATGTCTGGGAAATTGCCTTTAAAAGCCTATCGCTGTGCGCAGGTAATTGGATTGAATCATGACCTATATTTTATATAGGTCTTGGCCAATCTATCTGTAACCCAAGGTCTCCTCCAAGTGAGGGGTATACTCCTTAATGACTAAATATAGCGCACCTCCAAAGAAAATCCCAAGTAACAGCTCTGTCCCCTGCAGGCTTTCCCGTTGGAAAGAGATGTACATGTACAATGGTTTAATCAGGCCTAAACAAGCAGAGTACCCTCAGTGTCCTCTATCAGTGATTAGGCCAACTTAATATATAATATACTGATCTTCCTCCTTACCTCCCACATGCCTTCCTTTAGCTTTTTGCTATATTTTTTTATACAAAATGTAAGAACAAACATGTATAATTCAAAGGAATAAAGAAGTTGCACCAAATGCTATGCAGTAACTATTGTGATCATTAACCATAAATAGCGTTTCACATACCAGTATGTAGAAATATGATGATTGGGAAATAATCTGAATTGGTGCCAAATGTGTATGTGTGTAAATGCTGGCTAGCACTGCAAAAGGTGAAAGGGACATCATTTGAATAAAGAAACAAAGATTATTGTATATCACTTTAATTGAGCACTCCTCATCTGCATTGTCTGTGTACATTTGTGTCCAATGTGTAAAACCGTGTTGATGGACAATACAATTAGTCTCCCATTGTCCTCTGCTTTCAGTCCCTTTGTCTCTGAACGCTTCGATATATGACCTTACCTTCATTATACTGGCATGATAAATCTTATCTTCACATGCTGTTGTGCTGCTTTAGTGAAAACATTTACGGCCCATTTTAAATTGTAAAAATGTAGATATTTTGGAGAATTAACACAACTAAATGATAACACAATTAACAGGACAAGGGGTGACCGACAACACAGTCAGTTATCTTGGAATACTAAGCACAGAACTTTGAACTCCATGTTATAGATCAGACATAAGTGGAGTCAGCGATCCACGCCTGATTGTTTGCATTAGGTACACATGCTACACACAGTTCCACTGTTGAAGAGATGATCATTCAATTAATGTGCGTGTAAAGACTCTTTGTGATGAGGCATATATATTTTACATAAACGTTTGTCATTCATCAGACGCTCTTATCCAGAGCGATTTACAGTTAGCGCGTTCATCTAAAGATACGTGGTTGTCCCACCTGGCTATCTCAGTCATAGTAAGTACATTTTTCCTCAAAGTTAGTAGTGCTAGTAGGGGGGAAAGAGTCAAGTGCAAGTGTTCGATCACAGAAGGCACGTTGTTTTTGGGGGGGTGGGGTGCTGTGGGATTATTTAAGGTACTCTTTGATGATGGTAGGGTTTCAGATGTTTTTGGAAGACGGTCAGGGACTCTGCTGTCCTAGCTTCAGGGGGAAGCTGGTTCCACCATTGGGGTGTCAGGACAGAGAAGAGTTTGAGTGGGCTGAGCGGTAGCTGCCCTCCTGTAAGGGTGGGAGGGCCAAGAGACAAGAGGTTGCAGAATGGAGTACTTGGGTTAGGGTGTAGGGTTTGAGCATAGCCTGAAGGTAGGGAGGGGCAGTTTCTTCTTGCTGCTCCGTAGGTCCATGGTCTTGTAGTGGATGTGAGCTTTGACTGGAAGCCAGTGGAGTGTGCGGAGACATGGGAGAACTTGGGATGGTTGAACACCTGGCAGGCTTCGGCATTCTGGATAAGTCGCAGGGGTTTGATGGCACAAGCGGGGAGCCCAGCCAACAGCGAGTTGCAGTAGTCCAGACGGGAGATGACAAGTGCCTAGATTAGGACCTGCGCCGCTTCCTGTGTGAGGTAGGATCGTACTCTATGGATGTTGTAGAGCATGAACCTACAGGAGCGAGTCACTTTGATATTTGCAGAGAGCGAGAGGGTGTTGTCCAGGGTCACACCAAGATTATTTGCCCTTTGGGAGGGGGACACCGCAGAGTTGTCAACCTTGATGGAGAGGTCTTGGAGCCGGCAGGCCTTCCCTGGGAGGAAGAGCAGCTCCGTCTTGTTTAGCTTGAGGTGGTGGGCCGACATCCAAGCTAAGATATCTGGCAGGCACCCAGGGATGCACGTCGCCACCTTGGTGTCAGAAGGAGGGAAAGAGAAAAGTAGTTGAGTGTCATCCATATAGCAATGATAGGAGAGACCATGTAACGATATGACTGAGCCGAGTGACTTGGTGTATAGAGAGAAGAGGGCCCTGGCGGACACCAGTAGTGAGAGTATGTGGTGCAGACACAGATCCTCTCCACGTCACCTGGTAGGAGTGGCCTGCCAGGTAGGATGCAATCCAAGAGTGTGCAGAGCCTAAGACGCAGAGCCCTGAGAGGTTGGAGAGGAGGATTTGATGGTTCACGTTGTCGAAGGCAGCGGATAGATCTAGGAGGATGAGAACAGAGGAGAGAGAGTCAGCTTTGGCAGTGTGGAGAGCCTCCGTGACAGAGGAGAGCAGTCTCGGTTGAGTGATCCGTCTTGAAGCCTGACTGGTTAGGGTCAAGAAGATCGTTCTGAGAGCGATAGCGAGAGAGTTGGTCAGAGACAGCACGCTCAAGTGTTTTGGAAAGAAAAGAAAGAAGGGTTACCGGTCTGTAGTTTTTGACGTCAGAAGGGTCGAGTGTTGGTTTCTTGAGGAGGGGAGCGACTCTGGCAATTTCGAAGTCAGAGGGGATGCAGCCAGTGGTCAGGGATGAAGTGAGGAATGGGACAAGGTCTCCAGAGATGGTCTGGAGAAGGGAGGAGGGGATGGGGTCGAGCGGGCAGGTTGTCGGGCCTCACTCGTCACAGGATTTCATCTGTAGAGAGAGGGGATTAAGAGGTCAAGGCGTAGGGTAGTTCTGTGTGAGAGGGACCAGTGGACTTAATAGGCTGAGTGAATGAGGAGTGTATGTAGTCAACCTTCTTTTCAAAGTGGTTGACAAAGTCATCTGCAGAGAGGGAGGTGGTAGGGGGTGGAGGATTAAGGAGAAGGTGGAAAATAGTTTCCTAGGGTTAGAGGAAGAAAATTGAAATTTTGAGTGATAGAAAGTGGCTTTAGCAGCGGATACAGAGGAATAGAAGGTAGAGAGGAGGGAGTGAAAGGATGATAGCTCCTCCGGAAGTTTAGTTTTCCTCAATTTTTGCTCAGCTGCCCGCAGCCCTGTTCTGTAAGCTCGCAATGAGTCACTCAGCCACGGAGCAGGAGGGGAGGGGGACAGTGCGAGTCATAGGATGTGGAAAGGGAGGAGAGTAGGGTCGAAGAGGAAGAATCAGGAGACAGGAGGGAGAAGGATTTAGCAAAAGGGAGAGATGATAGGAGAGAGTAGTGGGAGCAAGAGCACGTAGATTACGATGACGCATTACCATCTGGGTAGGGGCTGAGTGTGTCGGATTAGAGGAGAGGGTGACAGAAAAGGAAACAAAGTAGTGATCAGAGACCTGGAGGGGGGTTGCAGTGAGATTAGTAGGCAGACAGCCTCTAGTAAAGATGATGTCAAGTGTATTGCCTGCCTTGTGAGTTGGAGGTGACTGGCAAAGGGTGAGGTCAAAAAAGGGCAAGGAGGGGAAAGAGATCTAGAAAGAAGTGAAACAAAGGCAGACGTTGGGAGGTTGAAGTCACGCAGTATGATGAGCGGTGAGCCATCATCAGGAAATTTGGTTATCAAGGTGTCAACCTCATTGATGAACTCTGGGCACCTGGTGGGCGATAGATGACAACAATGTTAAGCTTGAGTGGACAAGTGACAGTGACAGCATGGAATTCAAATGAGGAGATGGACAGATGAGTGAGGAAGAAAATAGAAAATCTCCACTTAGGAGAAATTAGTAGCTCAATGTCACCACCGCGACAACCAGATGCTCTCGGACTATGAGAGAACACAGTCAGATGAAGAGGGAGCAGCTGGAGTAGCAGTTCTTAAACATACAATCTACCTGCAGTGAAGCCGCTCAGCATTTACATTACATTCTAGTCATCTAGCAGATGCTTCGATCCAGGGTGACCCACAGAAGCAACCAGGGTCAAGCGCCCTGCCCAAGGGCACATCAACAGAACCCCCACCCAGTCGAATCTGGGACCCGAGCCAGCGACCTCTCGGCAACCGACCCAACGCTCCCAACCGCCAGGACACCAACCATCCAAGACCCTCCCACAGTCCCCCGCGAAAAAACGTCCCCCTTCACTCCCCAGCCCCAAACCCCCCCAAGCCACCATCCCTGTCCAACCAAACCAAAACCACCACCCATCTGATGCACCAACCACCAACAAAAATAACAAAAGAAAAATGCAAAAAAGGAAAACAGAAAACAATGCAAAAACAAAAGACATCAAGGACAACAGAAGTCAAAACAGCAAGGCCAACTGTACAGTGGGGGGAAAAAGTATTTAGTCAGCCACCAATTGTGCAAGTTCTCCCACTTAAAAAGATGAGAGAGGCCTGTAATTTTCATCATAGGTACACGTCAACTATGACAGAC